GCTATCCACCTCGGATTCTATTTTACTTTATGTTCACATATTGAGCACTTCGGCACCTTAGAGTGTGGCCTGTATTTGATGACTTGACGGTTCATTATAGGGACGTAACAAAACCGATCTTTAATGAGACCAAACTTCAAATTGATTAGCAAAATTCAATAAAATAAATCAGTTTGTTCCGATTCTTACAATAATCCTTCCAATTTCTCAAGCCCAGTCCCCCCCTCCCACCAAAAAATTAAAGAAAAATTTGGAAGTTGAAACTGTTATTCCTTTCCCTAGCTGATTTAGACCTATCTTTAATTAAATTTAATTGGTAAGGTAACGTGTTTTACTGGCAACCAATTTGAGATGTCTGAACATAGTTGCCCTACCCAGCTTGTAAAAGTTGGCAATTTTTAATGTCATACCTATCCGATGTGGTATGCCGTGCATTTAACAAGGTCAACTTTTATAATGAGTAATACTGTTTTAAATAGTTGATTTTACAACATCAATTTAGATAACACGAAGTCTCATTAAATAAAATATACAATTAAATAAATTATATAATTTTACCTTTAATTAAGCCTATCATGTAATTTCACACAAACTAGTGTTATAGCATTACTGGTTTTAGATAGGATTATTTTTTTCAGAATATGAATACATAAAAGTCTAGTTAATAAATCCTAACCAATGTTTTAAAATTTATTTAGACATTGAATAGAAAAAACGAGAGGGGTCGTCAATTAAAAAAATTTCAAAACGATCAATTGTACATATCATAAAAGAATCTAGTGTTCATGATAAACGACACTAAAGAGTTTGAATGTCGAATAGAAGAACTTGAAAATTTTGCTAATATAAAGCACTATAATGCGAATTTAACAATAAAATGCAAGGAACACACCATCTGCATATAACAATACCAACTTACTACGTAGTGACATCTCCCCCTTGTAATGCAACAATACTCCCATTTTCTTAAAATTCTTTTGGAATTCCTTTATTTTTATAGAATTAAGGCCTCTTTTGGTAGAGTTTCTGTTTCTTGCAGAAGAATTTTATATCAAAACAATCCCAAAGTAGCTTTATTGAAAAATTTTCTAGTGAGACAAAATATTTTTAGAAAATTATTCAAACATTTTAAATTATTTTTGAGACTTTAAAAATAATTTTTTAGTCTCAAAAATAATTTTTGATTTTTGAAAAGTCTTGTCAAATCGATATGATTGAGCGCTTACGAATGATTATTTTGCAAATTTTGGACAATTTTCCAATTACTTTAGTAACGTTCAACCTTTCAACATCTCACATACACACTCACCTAACACAAAAAAGGAACAACTGTAATAATTCCAAAGATGGTAGAATATGATGCTACTATGTGTTTTATTTTCTTAAAACTTGAAAGTCAAGAGATCCTTCAAATTGTTTTATAGCTTTAAGATATTTCTCTCTTCCAATTGAAGAGTAAAAATAAAACCTAATAAGCTCGAAAAGATTACTATTTAAAGAAGAGTAAAACACAATTAAGTCATGCACGGACTTGGTTTACAAATTATATGTTGACAATATTTAGGTTAATTATTTCAAAAATAGTTTTTGAAATCAATGGAAATTAATGACCAACCCTTAGTTTGTAAACATATACAATTAGATTAAAATCCCGTTTGGTAGCAGTTTTTCACCTCAAAAAATCAAAATTTTGATCATTATTTCATTATTCTAGTCGTCATTTTTAACTTATTCACTTACAAGTGAGACCCACTTTTCTTTTCAACGATCAAAAAATCAATTTTCATAATTACAGTCGATAAGGCCTTAATTCTTAAGGGTTTTATGCTTCAGTCCCAGTTTGCAAATTTCTGAAAATAATAATAATAATGGGCAATTAAGCATTATGATTTTCCCTGGATTTTATTTATTTATTTATTCTTTTTTTGGAAGTCAATTGAGTAATAATTTCAGATTTTAATTCCTTTTTTCATTATTAGTTTTGGAGGAAACATGGACGGGAATTATACAAAAAATATGTCACTCTGTCTCTCTCTCCCCCGTCTGTGTCCCCGCCTCTCTAATTTTTCTTCAAATCCCAAAAGTTGTCTTGTTTAACTTCTATTATTCTACTTTTTTGTGCACTAATTCCCAAAACTCCAAGAATGGGATTTCTCAGTCTTCAGAAAATCCCTATCAGTTCTTGAATTTTCTTAACTTCCTGACTGATGTGATCACTTCCATTTTCACTTTGCATTTCAGTTCCAAATTGTTTCACCATTTCCAGATCTCCCCCCAACAAAGTTTCCATCTTTAAACCCACCAAAAGATCCCAAAAATCATTTTTTTTCCTTGAGATGGAACACAAATATAAGCTCATATTAATCATAGGACTAACATCATTAATACTCTTAACAATTCTTTTCCTCATAATCTTTTGTTGTAGAAGAAGAAAGCCTCAAAATGTTTCAAGAGACATAGAAGCTAACTTTGAGTGCAAAGAAATTGGTGGGGTGGTAAATTCAGAGGATTTTTTTATCAAGTTTCAAGATGTAGAAGATCTAACTGTACATGAATTGCTGGATGCCCCTGGTGAGGTTATAGGAAAATCTAGCTATGGAACTCTTTACAGGGCTAGTTTGATCAATTCAAATTCACTTAAATTGTTAAGGTTCTTGAGGCCTACTTGTACATTGAGGATGAAAGAAGTTGTACCAATTATAGAGTTTCTGGGGTCTATTAGGCATCCAAATTTGGTGCCTCTGAATGCATTTTATGCAGGGCCTAGAGGAGAGAAGCTTCTTGTTCATCCTTTTTATGGGCTAGGAAATTTGGCTCAATTCATTAAAGGTAAAGTGTCTTGCACTTTGATTTTCTTGTTAGAATTTAACTCTTACTTTTATAATTTTTTTTGGTTAATGGGTTATGGATTTCTGCAATTAGGGCTATGTTTATATAGAAAATTGTCGAATCAGATAAGCTGTTCTTGTAGCAGAATTAATTCTAGGAAACATTTGCAGTTCAAGAATGGAAAAAGGGTAATGTTTCAAGGAAATGATTATGGATTTTCTCAATTAGAGCTATGTTTAGATACAATTTTTTTTATTTAGAATTGATTTTCTGAAATATTAGCAATTCAAGATTGATGAAAAGTAATTGATTCTCTTTTCTTTGACTGCAATTTTTGCAACTGTGCATCAGTAGTTGTTCTGATTTGTGCTAGAACGTACATATTCTTTCAGTATTTAAATTTGTATATGAATTTCCGGGTTCTGTTCTATATCGAAAGAGGCAAGATGTGAATTAATTCTTTGTAATATGTCAAATGGATCTCAGTCGGATTCTTACAAGAACTGGATCTCTTTACTTTCGAGTCCTACAGAACTATTTACTCTCTTATTTGCATAAAATACGATAGGTGTCTCTTTTTGTTTACAGTTTGCCTTACTTAAATTGTTCATTTAATGATTTTGTGGGCTGTTGGGCAAAGACTTTAGGAAAGGCTTGATGAGTAGAACAATAATTTTCTTGTATGCACAGATGGTAATGGCAAAGCTCACAAATGGCGGATCATATGTAGGATCTCCATCGGCATTGCTAGAGGAGTTAATCATCTTCATACGGCATTTGGAAAGCCCATAGTTCATGGAAATCTCAAGTCGAAGAACATATTATTGGATCGTAATTACCAACCATACGTGTCGGATTTTGGCCTGCATCTTCTTTTGAATCCGACAGCAGGGCAACAAATGCTTGAAGCATCTGCATCTCAGGGATATAAAGCGCCCGAGTTGATTAAAATGAAAGACGCGAGTGAAGAAAGTGATATTTATAGTCTGGGGGTAATCCTTCTGGAATTACTTACTGGAAAAGAACCGATTGATGAAAATCCTACTCCTGATCAAGACTTCTATTTGCCTAATGCTTTGAGGGCTGCAATTCTTGATGATCGAATTACGGATTTGTATCATCCAAACATCCTTCTCAGTCGAAACAAAGATCATACCGTAGTCACTGAAGATGATATTTTCAGATTTTTTCAACTTGCAATGGCTTGTTGTTCTCCCTCAACTCCCCTTCGGCCTGATATTAAGCAAATTCTCAACAAGCTTGAAGAAATTGCAAAGTGAGAATCTTGGATTTGTGATGAAAAGTTGAACATGCTGATCATGAAAATTGGCTTGTCAAAATTTGATTACGATTTGACTTCTATGGTGACATGGATCGACTTTATCCTGAAGACTTAACCATTGGAATGCTTGTTGAAGCAAAACCGTAGAGGAGAATACAAAAGTGTCCTAACATGTTTACCGGGATATTTATAGTACTTGGTCTGATGCAGCTGTTAAGGATCTAGTTCCTTTAGATGAGCTAGTGGATGTAGCGGTGTAAGAAAAAGCAATCTCGGAACCTACTCCAAATTTATCAGGAACAGGACGGAGGTACAATTTTCAGTTACTTTTGAGATGTTTGTCTCGACTGAACAGTTTCTACAGCACATATACCTGTTAAACTGGAATTTACCTTCTTCCCGATATTTATTCTATTTCTTTACCCTTCCGGGTAATCAGTTGACCAATTTTGTTATCATGAAGTTTGTTCAAGAATTTGCATTTCCAACTTTCCCATTATTATTGGAATCAAAGCTTAGAAAATTCTTTGAAATTGAAGTTACTGCATGGTTTTCCCATTATTACTGCATAGTTTTCACTTCTCTCTCTCACACACACACACACATAGAACATAACATTCCATTTCTTGCCCTTTATCTTTGTTCTGAGATTGGATATTGTTAGCTGGAGAGTGGGTGCATTCTGTCAGAAAACGATCGCTCATCAGATGATGACTATATTATATTAATCTCAACATGTCAGTTTGGTTGGATGCACCAATAATTTATTGAGATCTTTTCTTGACTTTTGAATAATTTTGTTTTCAAGTCATCAAGAAAACAAGATTTCTCTATTCTTGTTAGGATTTTGTTATTTGTACATAAAAATGATACATAAACGATTACCGAAATTGATATGGAGGGAAAATATTGGATAAAAAAGTTGACTGTATTTTAAATTAATAAATGATAGTTTTATGTGGACATTATGTACACCTTAATATACAAGTAGCAATGTTCTTGTTAAACGATTTTTTTCTTGCAAAAGTGTTTGGTATACAGGGGATAACTGCCAGGGGATTTATAGGGTCTTTGGCATTTTTTCCTTGCAAGATGGCAATAAAGAGAATAAAAAAAAAGGCAACATTAAAGGTACTACCAACGCAACACTTGTAATTGGCAGTTATTCCCCTATATGCAGGGAATAACTCAAAAAAATAAAAAATAATAATAATAATAAAATGACTACTTTCTTAAAGAATCCAAGTTACTATAACTTCTCTTTTGGTGGAACTTGTGGATTTTAATTATAATGTTCGATACTTCGATATTATTAACATTCATAATCCAAGTTACTTTAAGTTCATTTTTATTGGAGCTTGTGGATTTTATTTTTAATGTTCAATATAATTGAAACCCATATTCAATATTGGATTGCCCTGAATTCCTACTAAATATAAGGGGAATTTTGTAACTCGCCCAACACAAATGCCAAGACGAACGAGGAATACAATGAATCCAACTAACAAAATCCTGAACTAATCCCTCCTGATCATGGATAACAAATCCAAAGCCAATTAGCCCCCTTCTCTTATCATAACTGTTGTATCAGTGTTAAGCTTTAAATTCCCAGCCAAATGAGGATACCAAGGCTCGTGCTGCCTCCCTGCTGTCTTGATTGACTCTCAATCGATTCCCCCGCAAGAAGTTGGAGGTTGCGTCCATTGCCTCATGGAAACCCCCCACATAAAAACCCGGCCATTGGGACAGTCCCCCACTTTCCAAATGAGTAATTCTTACTCATCAGTGATGACCATCGTCCATCTACGTGACACTGATATATTATTACTACATTATTCAATAAAGTTGAGATGTATTTTTATCTGTTGAACAATGTGGAGTAGCAAGAAAAGCTTTAAATGGACTATCGTATATGTACATGTGGTAGGACCATCCATTTAAATCACGACATCTCAGATCTCGAGCCACTCAAATCATGACATATTGGCATTAGGGGTGGTAAAAGAGTTTTCTTCTTACATAAATTAATGATAATCGTCACTAACTATAATAGCATGTTTCTTTTCGAACCCCTTTCCACTATTCACGTATCACTATCCTACTAGCCTTTTCAGGAATTTGCTATCATAGTGCCAAATTAATCCATCCATACGCCCTTGTCTACCTAAAGGGATTGAACGAATCAAGTCCCTATCAATCTAAATGAAATCGTCATCAATTTTCTGGACATCCCACAAACCCTGCACCTCCATGACATCCCATTCTCACAACCGCGAAAGGCATGCCTAAATGCACATCACGAGCTCGCACCAGGTGAGGCATAACCCTGCCTAAAAGCATCGTGGTCATAGGCAAGAAACAACGAACATGTGGTAAAAGTTGAGGGTACCTTATAAATACACAATTTGGTGGAAAATCATGAGACATTATCTTCTACCAAACATGCACTACTTATTTTAACTAGAATGATCTACTAGAAATTCGAAAAAGACCCTTTTAGTTATCCACGCTGGCAAAAATAAATACAATTTGAATAACACTTGAATCATGGCATCAGCATTTGCCCAAAGCAAACAGGAGATAAGTTCTCTATTTGATGCTTAAAAACATATAGGAAGGCCATAATCATAAGTATATATCACATTAAAATGGAGATATTTCCTCAGTTTCACAAGGCTCCCAAGAAATCTAAGAATATAATTTTACATAGATAACTTCGTGCAATTTAGCCAGAGGAATTTCACAAGTGAAAAAAGCCTGCAACGGTCAGCTTACAAGAGAAAGACATCTCATGGAGCATTTACAATCCAGATATAGTGGTGACTCCAATATCCAGGGGATGGGCTGATGCTAAAGTTTGCTTCTTCAAAACCTAATAATCACTATGCCCATTAAAAAGAATTTGTTTGGAAAAGTTGAGTTTTGGAATAGTGGTTTTTTGGAGAATATATGGTTAAAATGTATGAAAAAATTTTGGGTTTACATTCAAAATATTTTATTGTGAGAATGTATGGTTCAAATGAGTTTTGGG